ACCAGAGCCACAGGGTCGCGGCAGCGCGTGCCCGTATTGCGGCTGTCCCCAGCCTCCCAGCCTGGGGCGAAGCGGAGCGGAGGGTTGGCTGTAGCCCGGTAGCTGGTGTTCACAGCCGCGTGGGACTCCAGCCTGTGTCTGAGCCTCTGTCTCCTGCATTGTTAGCCCCGGCTCCCAGCTCCTGCACCCCGGTCTCAGAGTGCTGGCACAGTGACCTGCATCCACACAGCAAAATGTCAGGGCTTTGAGACAAGTCCTGCCCACCTGCCATCCCATAGGTCCTGAGGCCCACCTGGGCCCGAGTCAGAAAGATTTGTATTTGGAAGGTAGAGGGGTTTGGGCCAAAACTGACTTGGAACTTGGGATTACAATGACATACACACAGGTGACCTGTGTTCTCCATGTCAGGCAAGAATCACTTGAATTACACACTCAGAGGAGTAGCCCTGTTAGTCTGTAACTGGAAAAAATATAAGAACAACCAATGGTCCTGCTAGCACCTTAGAAACTAACAAACAATGTAGATAGTATCGTGAGCTTTTTGTGGACACAGACCACTTCTTCAGATAGTGGGTTGTGCCCACGAAAGCTCATGATACTATCTACATTGTTAGTTTCTGAGATGCTACAGGACCATTGGTTCTTTTTGAATTACAGACTTACATCCTGAGGCAGAGGTAGTGAATCATTTTAGATCCAATTACAGTCCCTAACTTGTACATAGGACTTGAATAGCAAGAGCACTTGGTTTCCTTTTGAGTCCTATAGCTATTGAACTAATTTTTTAACATAATGTTAAAAAGATGATGGGAGGAAATTTTCCCTGATCCAGCCTCAATTTAAATCTTGCTTGTGGACTGTCATGATGGGATTACATACTATTGTGACTTGTATTACAATAGTGGCTGCAGACCCTGAGGGGGACTGGGGCCTGTGGATAATGAGGGAGTTATGTACATTTTTTATAAATATATACATCTTAGTTTACCTGTTTGATATTATCCTGCTTGAGTGCAGAATGCTAAATCAAAGGAGGCTGTTAGGGAAGAAGCAAGTAAGAGAAACAATAACAGAAATAAGGCTTCTTCAGAGAACAATGGGTGGTTATAAATTGAAAATGACACTTTCTAGCTCCCCCCCAGACTAGCAAGATATACCCTTCCCAGACTGGAGCGTAGGCTAAAAAGGGATACTAAACTATTAAACGACTCAGGCTTAGAAGAGGAGAGGGGGTTGATTGAGTTAGCAGCAGCTAGAAATGAGTCTCTGTGTCAAAAAGAGACACAGAGAGCATGTTGCAGCTTTTCCCAAATCCCAGACAAAGCAAACTGGATTTACCAACATTTACTAGGAAAAATTAAGATTTTTAAGAATCTGTATGGATCACTTTAACCAGCTCATGTCACAGGCTCCTGGAGGAAAAGGACCTGTAAGCGCCAAACATTGTTGGGCCTCGGTTAATGCAATTGGTAAACGGGGGCTTCAGCTCTGAGAATAACAATGGTGCTATAGAGTCTGTTACTTTATGAGTTTATTAGTCATTCAAACAAAACCATAAGATGAGACCCACTGAAGGATCAGAATGGAGTCTACTAGAATTTCCATTATGGGGTGGAATGATTCCGTTCAGCCCGGACTATGCAGAACTCTGCACCTCCCTGTAGGGTTATTTTTTTAACATTGTTCTCCCAGATTTGTTATCCTTTCAAAATCCAGGAGCTTTTTGGTTCCATTCTTAAATTCAGCTATCATCTCTGGCCTAAGCAGCTAAAATTCATTTATTTCTTGACTTAAAGAATCCTCTGACATTATCTTTGAGTAACGGGTATATATAAATGAAACATATAAATATATATTTTTCCAACAGTGGAAGATTTTAGTATACAATTTTATTTGCATAGCACTTTTCACCCAGAAAGATTCATTTCCTATTTTGCTCTCAAGCCGTATAGCAGCTAAGGGTGATGTTTACTGTGGATGGATGAACTCATGTTCACATTCACTGAAGGACTAGAATGAGGGTAAGAAGAAATTCATTGTTCTTCACATACAAAATATTAATTAAACTTGAGATATTTGACAAGGCATTCCAGGCAGTTTATTTTGTGGAAATCTTTTGGCCATGAATTTAATAGTTAAAGTCTTGCTTGCTGAGCGTCTTGAAGATCGTGAGGCACAAATAAAAGTGGGGATGTTAGATTTTATGTTCTTGACCAATATTTCTCATTCTATCCTCTGCTCTGTTGTGCGAAGGGTGAACCAATTTGGCATGTTGAGAACAGTGGTACAGGATATTTTGACATGGCATTGTCATACCTGGCAGAAAGATTATTCCTCACTTGGGAAGCAAACGTCAAAATGTAACTGTCATGTAGCAATATGAACCAAAATGTCATCACAACTGGAAGTAACATGTATCTTAAGTTTACTATGCTGCATCACAACATCCATGCATTAATTACTTATGTCAGGCCAGGGCTCAGTTACTAATATCATGCTCCAATACAGTATCTCCATATTACACCACCTCATTATCGTGCAAAGTAAACCATCATAATCACAATGCAACTCAATATCATGATACAGGATTGTGATCACAGCATGTCATCATGCCATAACACAGGGCACTGTGGTTCAATGCAACATCATCATGTGATAAAATGCAATGTTAGCATACCACTGAATGTCAGCATACTGCCATAAAAAACAATGTGGCACAATGCCACAGTATCGTGGTAGGATACAATGTAATAAAAATACAATGCAGCAGCATCCCAACATCCTGTATTTCTGACACAACTGTGAAACAATGTCATACTCCTGTGATGCAATCGTATTACCATGCCAAAATGCAATGTTGGCAGTGCAGTGGTTTGAGATTCAGGGGATGTGGGTTGTATTTCTTGCTCTGCCTCTGACTTGCTGGATGACCTTGGACAAGTCACTCACCCTTCTGTGTCTCAATTTCCCCATCTGTAAAATGGTGATAATGACACTTTTTTCATTATAAAGCACTTTCTGATTTACTGATAAAAACAGTATATAAGTAAAAGCTAGGTATTAGTATCTAGGTGTTGCCTGCAGCCATTACCAGAGGCGGCCTTAAAGCCAGGAGGCCGCCCCTGGTGGCAGGCTGCTGCTGGCTTGCCGCCCCATTAAAGCCAGGAGGCCGCCCCTGGTGGCAGGCTGCTGCCGGCTTGCCGCCCCAAAGGGGCAATCCAAAGGGGGCTGCCCTTTTGGGGGAGCCTTTCAGGGGCAGACCAAGGGCAAGGGTGTGTGCTGTGATGGTAGATTATAATTGAGTGTGTGTTTGTGTGTGCTGGTGAGAGCAGCACACTTGGTTGTGTGGTGGCCTATTCAGTCCCTGGTGAGAGCAGGGAGGGCAGGCGAGGGTTCTTGGTGAGAGGAAGTTCCCTTTAGCTACCCAAATTGAAGGTGTTTGTTCTGCCCCCCCTCCCCCCACCACTATTTGGTTTGGCACAGATGGGATGCCTAAGAAGGAGGGCTCAGATGGCATCGTGGCAGTTGTGACAGGTAGAGGAAGATATGGAAGTATGATCCGGACTGGCCAGCCAAGGGGAATGAGGTTTAGACAGTTATGTGCTATTCCTTTTTCCAGCTCTGTTCCCAGCCTTAAACATTTTGGGAACTTTAATACCTGGCCATCAGCCCTGAGGGTGCTGTTGCTGAATGCCAGGTCAGTATCCCAGAAGACATCTGTCATCCACGATTTAATTCTAAGTGAAGGGGCTGACCTGGCTTGTATCACTGAGACCTGGCTGAGAGTGGAGGGAGGCGTCGACCTTTCCCAATTGTGCCTGGCTGGGTTCTCGGTACAGCTGCGGCTTAATGGTCGGGGATGTGGGGTGGCAATTGTCTATCGAGTTACTATCTCACTGGCTAGGGTTGTGGCCCAACAAAGTGTCACATTCGAGTGTCTGTACTTGATGTTGGGTGCCCGGGATAGGTTGGGTAGACTGCTTGTGTACCATGCTGCTTGTGTACTTCCCACCTCACTATACGGCAGATGCTCTGCTTTAGCTGGCCGATGTGGTCTTGGACGTGGCATTGAGGACACCAAGGCTTTTGTTCTTGAGGGACTTTAATATCCATGCCGAGGCTGTTCTGTCTGGTCTGACCCGAGATTTTATGGATACCATGACCACCCTAGGATTATCCCAAGAAATAACTGACCCAACACATGTTGCAGATCATACACTCGATTTGGTTTTTTGGACTAAGGGTGATAGACTTCTTGGGATAAGGGATGTGGCTACACTCCCTTTGTCATGGACTGATCACTGCCTGGTCAAGTTTAGACTATCTGCTGACCTTCCCCTCCACAGAGGCAGAGGACCAATTAAGATGATCCACCCTCGGAGGCTGATGGATCCGGAGGGTTTTCTGAGGTCCCTGAGGGATTGTTCAGCCATTATGGCAAATGGTCCTGTAGATACCCTAGTTGATACATAGAACACCGAGGTAGCCTGTGCAGTTGATATGATTGTTCCTAAGCACCCTCTTCCGACCAATCGAGCTAAGTTTGCTCCCTGGTTTTCTGGGGAGCTGATGGCAGCAAAACAGTCTGTGTGACGGCTAGAACACCGCCGGAGGAGAACTGGAGCTGAGTCTGATCGGGTTAGAGCTGAACTGCGAGCTTACTCTGTGGCGGTGCTGACAGCGAAGAAAAGCTACTTCTCCACCCGTATCACGTCCGCACAATGCTGTCCAGGGGAATTGTTTCGAGGAGTCTGGCACTCATGACGAAATAGAGGAGCCTTTGGCCCCCCACTGTGATCTGTTTGCAGAGCATTTTGCAAATAAGATCGCCCGCATCCAGTTGGATTTGGACTCTGGTTGCTATGTAAGTGGGGCACAGAATGTGTTGAGTGCACCACCCAGTCTTTTTTCTCTGGATCAATTTCAGCTACTGTAGACTGAGGATGTGGACAAGGTGCTTGGAGGAGTGCAACTGACCACGTGCTCACTTGACCCCTGCCCTTCATGGCTTATTAAATCTAGCCGGGAAGGGATGACTGGCTGGGTCCAGGGATTATTAATGCGTCTTTTAGATCTGGTATGGTTCCTGGTATGGGCGGTGGTGCTGCAACTCCAAGCTTTCTTGGAAGAAATAGACTACTTAGATTTATTTCAGTCTGGCTTTAGGCCTGGTTTTGGAATTGAAACAGCCTTGGTCACCCTGGTAGACGATTTACGCCAGGAGATAGACTAGGGGAGTGCATCCCTGTTGATTCTCCTAGACCTCTCAGCGGCTTTTGATACCATTGACCATGATATCCTTCTGGGATGCCTGGCGGAGTTGGGAATTGGAGGCACTGTTTTGCAATGGTTCCGGTCCTACCTGTTGGGATGATTTCAGAAGGTGGAGGTAGGGGGCTGCTATTCAACCCCGTGGCAATTGTGCTATGGGGTCCTGCAAGGTTCCATCTTGTCCCCTATGCTGTTTAACTTTATTTCCCTGTGACATTAGAACCAGGTGTGGCAGTGACTGATTTAAATCGGTGTCAAATTGGATGAAGTCAAATAAGCTGAAGCTGAACCCAGATAAGACTGAGATCCTGTGGATCAGGAGGCCATCTGTTCGTGAATGTGGCATGGCACCTGTTCTAGACGGGGTTACATTCACCCTGAAAGAACAGGTATGCAGCTTGGGAGTCCTTCTGGACCCTTTTTGAACATTTGAAAATCAGATTTCTTCAGTGGCCTTTGGGCAACTTTGTTTGATCTGCTAGCTGCGACCCTTACTGAACAAGCATGACTTGGCCACAGTGATCCATGCTCTTGTTACATCCCGACTGGATTACTGTAATGCACTTTATGTGGGGCTGCCTCTAAAGAGCCTTCAGAAACTTCAACTGGTCCAGAATGCGGCTGCTCGAGTTTTAACTAACACTAGTTATACGGAGCACATTATGCCAGTGCTTCGGCAGCTGCACTAGCTTCCAGTATATGCTAGCTGCGACCCTTACTGAACAAGCATGACTTGGCCACAGTGATCCATGCTCTTGTTACATCCCGACTGGATTACTGTAATGCACTTTATGTGGGGCTGCCTCTAAAGAGCCTTCAGAAACTTCAACTGGTCCAGAATGCGGCTGCTCGAGTTTTAACTAACACTAGTTATACGGAGCACATTATGCCAGTGCTTCGGCAGCTGCACTAGCTTCCACTATATTTCCAGACACAATTTAAGGTTTTAGTTATGATTTATAAAGCCTTAAATGAGTTGGGTCCAGGGTATCTGAAGGACAGTCTTCTCTCATATGAACCTGCCCGCGGATTGAGGTCAGCTGGGGAGGCTTTGCTTCGTGTTCCCCCACTTGTGGAGATAAGATTAACATCTGCGTGGAACAGGGCATTCTCAGCTTTTGCTCCCAGGCTGTGGAATTCTCTTCCTCGGGATATTCACATGGCACCAACGCTAGTGTTGTTTCGGCATCAGACTAAAGCCACCCTTTTTACTCTTGCTTTTATTAATGTCTGAGTCTGTATGTGTGTGTTCCTTCTCTCTATACGTTTTTAGCTGGTTATGTCCCTTGTCGCAAGAACCACAGGTCTGATGATGCATACCCAAGGGGGAAAGGACAGAACCAGGGGGACCTTTTTAGTAAATAAAAGATATTTATTTATAACAGTGATGAATTTATAGTATTTATTCTAAGATTTTTAATTGACCGTGTCAGTAATGAATTTACAATATTTACTATATTTATTCCACGATTTCTAGTTGAACGTATCAGAAATATAAGGATGGGAATGACAAGGGGAATAGTCTCTGCTCTAAATATATCAAGCTATACTAATTAATAATAGCGATAACTACAAACTCTATGTACTACCAAAACAACCATAACACTAAGCTATACAACAAGGGAAATCAAATCATACATACCAAATTACACAGCACATGGAACATTTCAAAGATATCAGTTCAGTTGCAAAGGCCTTGGTTACACCCGGGGGAGGTGGCCGGTCGGTTGATCAAGTCGGCAGCACTTTGAAGTATACAGGAAGGCACACACATAGTGGTGCGTGAGTTGCGAAGACCTCCCCGAGCGAACTGTGCGATGGGTATTTATCCCTAAGTCTGCACATCACTTTCCCGTGCTTGCATATTACCATATACGGCCCAACGGTCACCAAGTGGGGGTCTGTGTCACAGGGGCTGGGCCGAAACTGTGCAAGTTTCATGTGACCAGGTAAGCCCCACACTTCTCACACCAAGGTGACGGGTAGGAGAGTCCAAGGCTATTTTCCCCTTTTCACACCTTCCCTTTTTCTAAAGAAAATGGTATTCAGGAAGGGTGTGGCCGGTTTCTCCCCAAGTAGTACTGCAGCCCACTACAGCAAGAGCGGCCTGGCCAAACTTTTTACTGGGGGGGGGCAGTTTTTTTTCTAACATCCCTCTGGGGTCTCATATTTTAAATTTTGATACATATTTGTATTTTTTTTGTTTTGTTTTCGTAAGCCGCCTTGACTATTTTAAATAGAAAGGCAGGGTAAAAATATTTAAATAAAGAAATAAATATCTCGCCATGCCAGACCCCCATGACAGTGCGATGTCATCTCACCATTTCGGACTCTATTGGACTGTGATATCATCTCACTGTGCCATGATGTCAACATTCTGCACAAGGAAACCCTCCTGATGTCATAACATCGTTTGGGTTGAGGGAAGGCTGCACCTGTGGTGGGATTTCCCAGGTTCCCAAGAGACAAGGCTAGGGGTGACGCGTCACCTTTCCTATCTGTCTGGAATTCTCCGGCTCCCTGAGTTGTTGGGGTGGGAAGGGGGAATTCTGGCCTCGACCTAGGCAGCGGAACGTTCTGCGTGGGGATGGGGTTTCCCACGGAAAGCCGTCTCGGCTTCCGTTCTTCGGCTGGCGGAAGTGACGGGTGAATTTGTTGACAGCGGAGGCTGTTGCGGGGGGAGGGGGGCGGGAACGGACCCTGAGGAGGACACAGACCCCCGACCCCGGGGACCGGAACCGGAACGAACCTGGATCCCCTCTACCCAGGGAGCCGGGCCGGGGCCTCGGTCCAGGTGGGTGCCTGGGAGATCGGAGCTAAGCGCGTGCGGGGCCGGCAGTGGTACCCGGCCCCCAGAGAGACCCGATCCCCTCCCGGACCCGCCCACTGCGGGGACCCAATCCCCAGGCTGCCGCGGGTCAGAGATTCAGGATCCACCCACTGCCCGGGGCGAGGGACGGGACCTGTCACACTCACCCCCTGCCCGGGCAGGAGACCAGACCAGCCGCCCATGGGGGACGCGGGAGGGAGAATTGTAACCTCCGGGTCCCCCCTCGGGAGACATGATCCCGCACCCTGGGTGACCCCTAAGAGAGGGGTGATCGGTCCCCTACCCACTGGAGGGAGTGAGCAAAGATTCCTCCTTTGCTAGGAGTGACACATGTCAGATGAGAATCCAGGATCTCTGCACTTAAGCGATAGATCCGATTTTCCTGGCACCTCTGCACGTCTTGAAGGGCAGCCCCCAAATGCCTTGGGGCACTTGTAGATCTGTGTCATTAATGAGTCATGATACGTGTTGTAGTACAATGTCCTGCAGGGAGATCCTGTAAAAGGGTGGTGGCTCCTGGGAAGCTGTTTTATGGGGTGACCTTTGAAACAGATTGGAAACAAGCACAGCAGCTCTTCCGTAGCAGAGAGTTTTACCCTGCCTCTTCCTCCCAAGGGACAGAGAGAGACCTGATTTTGCTAGGGATCATTCTGCAAGCTGGTGAAACAGCTCAAAATATCTTTGGAGGTCATTGCCATCTGATGAAGCACAGTGTTAATGTGAATCTTAAGTGAGGCTGTTCTGGAGATGTTTTATGGGGTGAGTGACATTTATGAATAGCAGCAAGAACTTTGTACTGTATTTTAACTTTCAAAGGTGTATCTGCAGCATAGTTATATACAAATGGCATCTGCTCCCTGTTTATAATCTATCTGATTTATTATATTTGCTGTATTCTGAGCAAAGGATGAGCACCAAAGAATTCCTTAATTCTCCGCATAGCTTTGATATTATGGGGAGTAGGGATGTTAACAGCTTTGATATTATGGGGAGTAGGGATGTTAACTCTCAGGTATTTGTGTAGATTTGTGATAGAAATGTAGCCGTGTTAGTCTGGGGTAGCTGAAGCAAAATGCAGGACAATGTAGCACTTTAAAGACTAACAAGATGGTTTATTAGATGATGAGCTTTCGTGGGCCAGACCCACTTCCTCAGATCAAAAAGCTCATCATCTAATAAACCATCTTGTTAGTCTTTAAAGTGCTACATTGTCCTGCATTTTGTATTTGTGTAGAGGCACCATGTGGGGAGGGGCAGATGGGAGTTGATGCTCAGAGGGAGCCGGCTTGAAAGTGGCTTCCCACCTGCCCTTCCCCCACCCTGCACTGCTGCCTCTGTGTCAGAGGTAGCAGCATGGCAAGGGGAGGTGGCGAAGCCGACTTTTAAGCCGGCTCCCCCTGAGCATCGACGCCTGATGTGGGAGGTAGGGGGAGGTAGGGAGGCAGCTCCATAGAAGCTGGCATATACGGTGGGCCAGCTTAAAATCCAGGTCCCCACACATGCTATCTCCTGCTGCCCCCTCCCACCACTGCCTCTGTGGGAGGCAGCAAGGGAGGGGCAGGTGCCTCTACAGAGCTGGGACATGTGGAGAGCTGGCTTAAAAACTGACTCCCCACATGTGCTGGCTACCACCTGCCCCTCCCCCCTGTGCTGCTACCTCTATGGGAGACAGTGGGTGGGGGGCAGGCAGCAAGGGGAGGAATGCAGTGTAGTCAACATAATTAACTGATAAGCCTAGGCTTCTCAGTTAATCATTTAGTCGACCACATATTGACATCCCTAATGAGGAGTCTGGTGGCACTTTAAAGACTAATGAATTTATAAGGGTATTAGGGCATAAGCTTTTGTGAGCTAGAAGGCAGTGTGACATTAGTGCTAATTAAATCAGAGTGGATATGGCTCATCTCCAGCAGTGATGAAAAGGAAAAACTTAGAAAGCAACAAATAGTCTAGTAGCACCTTAAAGACTAAGAAAACATGTAGATGGTAGCATGAGCTTTCGTGGGCACAACCTACTTCTTCAGACCTGTCTGGGAAAGTACCTATTGGAATGCTAGGTGTCTACTTAAACCTTGGTTTAGGGTGTCAGATTTGCAACTGAATCCAGCTCTGCAGTTTGCACTTGCAAAGTTTTTTTGCCTGAGAATGGCAACTTGCAAGTCCAGAACTGTGTGCCCAGGGAGGTTAAAGTGCTCCTCCACGGGTTTTTGAATGTTGACATTTTTAATGTCTGATTTGTGTCCATTCTTTTGCGTAGAGACAGTTTGTCTGATATACATGGCGGAGGGGCATTGTTGGCACATGATGGCATATATTACATTAATAGATGTGCATGGGAATGAGTCTTTGATGGTATAGCTGATGTGGTTAGGTCTTGTGATGGTGTCACTAGGTTAGATATATGGTAGAAGTGCCTGGTACGCTCACTTTCTCATCACTGTTGGAGATGAGCCACATCCTCCCTGATTTAATTAGCACTAATGTCACACTGCCTTCTTTGCTTCTTTGTATCCTTTTTCTTTCTTTCTTTCTTCTTCAGCATCTGATGAAGTGAGTTATAGTTCATGAAAGCTTGTGTTCTAATACACTAATAAATTCGCTAGTCTTTAAAGTGCCACCGGACTTCTTGTTGTTTTTGCTGAAACAAATGAACACAGCTCCCTCTCTGAAACCTTTCATATTATGAATATTTGAACCACTCTGGGCCACATTTTCCCTATATGTAAAATAGGTTTGATGATATCTCCTGCATCAGATGGGATGGATGATTAGTTAGTATTTGTTTAGTGATTTGGAACCGTGAAGTGTCATGTAATGCAATATAAATTAGCAATGCAGTTTTCCTTTAGAATGCAAGATATGTTGAGCTCTGGATTTACATTCAATTTGTTATTTTAAAATATTCCATTGTGATCTGATATTTGTTATGCTTTCTTTGTTAATCAGCCTTGCTAATCATCTTTGTAGCAGCAGGTATAAAGGTTATGCACCGTGGCACTGAGCCACAATGAACCTGGACTAGCCTCCAGCACCAGGATGAAGAGAGCATGTAGTAGGAGAGGGGATTGATCTGAAGTCCAAGATACAAAATCTAGCACAGGCATTCCTAAGTGTGAGAACAGCAGCATCAGGCCTCGCAAGTGGGTGAAGCTGGGAATGTTTTGAGAATGTGGATGTATCTCAGAGGAGCAGTCCCCACAGAAGAATATGTTTGGATCTGGAAGGCCAGGGGTGGAGGAATGCGGTGTCTCATAGTTTCCTTCATTTCAATGAATGCTAAGAGGCTGGTGTACTGCCACTAGTTGTCTTGGATGGGGCTGATGGCTTTAGCCAATTTGGGGCACATTGGATAACAAGTTTGTTTAAAATACATCTGTCCCTTTGGATTTACCCTCTTGTACACTGGAAGGGGTTCTGGCAGGGTGGGGAGTCAGTACTCAAGTAGTGCAGCTGTGGTTATTGTGATCTCCGGTCACTGTGTGCCTCATTGTTTGGATCCTCCCACCATACACCTTCTGCACACATATCCTTGACCCTTCACACACATCTTGGAAACCATGAAAAGCAATCCGATATCCAGGAAGACAACTAGCCAGTCAGCCAACCCAGTAGTCTAGAAGAGCCTCTGCCTTATAAAAATAGCTAGACAGTATCTCTGATTTGCTTAAAAATATGGTACTTGCATCCAAATGTATGCAACATTATGTTCCATCACAGACCCACTTTTTCCCTAACCCTGTTGCCTTGTTTTCCTAATTAGGAACTTCAGGGCAGGATATTTGTGTTTTACTGTGTCCAGCACAATGGGGCGCAAATCTCAGTTGAAGTTTCTGGGCACTATAATACACATAAATAATGGGGAGTGTTCTGTAGTGATGCTTTACTTCGGCAGTTTAATCCCTTCTCCCTAGATTAGACTAGGGTGCCTTTTGCGTATGGGAATACTGGTCATTCTTGGGAGCTAACGGATTAAAGCACAGATCATTTCTGCACCCAATTTCTAGGAATATTATAGTAATCTGATTACATTGCAATAGCATCGAACAGTGCTAATCAGGATTGGTACCCTATTGCACTAAATGATATGCAAACATATAGAATGACACATTCCATGTCCTGTGTGAACTGGACTGAAACTCATTTTTCATCCCTTTAGCTCCTTATAATGGGCCTATCACCAGGTATTGGAGTCATCAAGCAGCCATTGGGTGTTAATGACATTCAGTGGCTACCAACATGACTCAGAATAGAATTGTGTGACTTACAAGGCCATCACTAGAAGTGAAAGGTTCCATCTCCTGTTTCCATCCTCTGAATTAACAAGATCCTATATAAGATTTTTGATTGCTGGGTTTAATTTTCTTTCTGTAAAGCCCATTTGTAACTGTCTTGTTCTGAAACTTTTCTGCAGCCTGGGTCCTAGATAGCAGACAGTCCCACTTACTTAAATGGCTTCTGTGTCAGAATGCAGTAGGATAAGATGGGAGTTTTGTGTTTGAAATTTGGGAAGGAGGTTTTTCCCAATACCTGGTTATTTTATTTCCAGGGGTGTTCACAGAAGGGAGAAGACACAAACCACTTCACCTCAACTGATGATGAGAATCAGATACAAGCAGATCCCAGAATACAGGAGCCAAATTCAGCCATAGTTTCAGCTCTTCCTGAAGTCAGTGGAGTTGTACCCATTTATATCCTAGATTTGTTTCAAAAAGGCTACTGTGGAAACTAGGGTTAGGCTTGCTGGATGGCTGTTTCAAAACAAAGAGCAGATCTGCTGATCTCTGCCTTTTTTCTTGAGTGGTTGTTTTCCATGTTGGGTTAATTACTTGGTTGGCTCTTGTTCCTGGCACTGAAGTGCATTCTCTAAAGGAGAATTAATGAGACACAGAGAAGAATGGTGTTTTAATTTGCAATTCATGCTGCCCCCTAGGTTGCACAGAAATCTGTCCAAAGCAAAGAGAGCCTGGGCTGATAAGAAGGCTAAGCCACAGCTGTGCTCCTGTCTCCCACAGGGACCATTCAGTGCCTGAATCTGAGCGGTTACCTCATCCCTGAAGTCATAGCCAAAGCAGCAGGCTAATTGGCTAGAGCTTCTGAGGGGAGGTGATTTTCTAACTGATCTACCTGCCTGATCCATCTGACTGGTACTTTCTTCCCTCTAGGGCAGTAGCTATAGTGAAGAATCCTGTGATAACCAGTTGGGGATAGTTATGATATAGTAATGCTGAGGAAAATAGGAACATTTTAAGGAATGGCTCCTCAAGAGAGGAGGAATGAGCAGAGAGACTGAGTCAATATGTTTGCTGTTTTGTCCTTCTGCATTGAGTAAATTGTTCTGTGGAATCCCATGATGAAGAGCAAAGACTGTTAGTTAAAAGTCTCAGAGGAGTAGCTGCATTAGTCTGTATCTGCAAAAATAACAAGGAGTCCTGTGACACCTTAGAGATTAGCAGTATATTAGGGCATAAGCTTTCTTAGGTAAAACCCACTTAATCAGATGAATTGAAGAGTAAGTTACAGAGGCAGGGGTACATTTATAAGTACAGGCAGTCCCCGGGTTACGTACAAGATAGGGACTGTAGGCTTGTTCTTAAGTTGAATTTGTATGTAAGTTGGAACTGGTACATATTGTAGGGGAAACTCTAGCCAAACATTTCTCCAGAGCTCAGTTTTATTCTCCCACACCTCACTTCCCTCAGTCCTTTATTCTCAAGCTGAGGTGTCTGCTGAGAAAAGCTGCTCCGCGTCTCCCTGGTCTGCTGGGGGGGGGCGCTAGCTTCGCGTCTCCCTGGTCTGCTGGGGGGAAGCAGCTAGTGCGGGGTTGCCTCACCCCGTTTGTAAGTAGGGATCCGATGTAAGTCGGATCCATGTAACCCGGGGACTGCCTGTACAACAACAACAAAGGAGAAGTTGCTTATCAAGTATAGGACCAGTGTTAATGAGGCTACTCAGGTCAGGGTGGATGTGGCCTCATTAACACTGGTCTTACACTTGATAAGCAACTTCTTTTTTATAGTTATGTACTTGTATACGTACCCCAGCCTCTGTCACTTCCATTCCAATTCAGCTGATGAAGAGGGTTTTACTCACAAAAGCTAATGCCCCAATACATTTGTTAGTCTCTAAAGGTGCGTCTACACACCAGGACTTAACTTTAAATAAGCTACACAAATTGAGGTACATCAGTAGCATAGCTTATTTTGAAATAGAGCACTCTTTCAGAAGTTGGAGTAAGAAGTCCTCCAGCTTGACAGTATTTCAACATTATTTCAAAATAATTGCCTGCTATGTAGACTAAGTTATTTCAAAATAACACTAGCTATTTTGAAATAATGTTGCGATGTAGATGTACCCTAAAGTGCCACAGGACTCCTTGTTGTTTTTATTGTTAGTTAAAGACATTTTGTAACACCTTCCAGAGCAACAGCTGCTCAGCAGAGGTAAGAATGGAGAGAGGGAGCATGGCTTTAAATTTGTTGGTAATGCTATGATCATAATTGCACAGTTACTTTTGTGGGGGGGGAGGCTCAGTTAACTCTGGACCCCAGCTGTCAGTAATTATTTGGGGAGGCTCTAGGTGATAGCCTTGCATTTGAAGTATAGGGCTGGGATTTGTGAGCTCTATTCCCAGCTGTGCCATAGATTGACTGCATAACTTTGGGTGAATCGCTTCAGCTCTCTTCAGCTCCATTTTCCTACCCATCTATAGAAATGGGAGAATCATTCCATTTCCCAGGGTGCTGGTGGTAAATGTTAATTCCTGATTATAAAGTGCTTTGAGAACTTGTGATGAAAGGTGTGGTCTGAAATTATGCCTTATCAGTCAGCAGCACTCCTCCCTGGTCACAGGAAGACTGTGAAGGAAGCAAGCAACTGGATAGTTGGGAGAGGGTGACCTTCTGGGACACTTACCTTTATGGCTAATGAACATTTCAGAGAAATATGTCTCTGTTTAAAGATTTGCTCTCACTTGCACTCTCTCGGGGTACATCTATACAGCAGCATTGTTTCGGAATAACTGACGTTATTTCAAAATAACAAAGTGCACATCTACACAACAATCTGTTGTTTTGAAATAATGTTGAGCTGGAGGACTTCTTACTCCAACTTCTGTAACCCTCATTTCACAAGGAGTAAGAACGTTGAAGGACAAGTTCTCTTCCTTCGACTTTCTACTGTGCAGACAGCGCCAAAAGCCAAATTAAGCTATTTCGACTTCACCTACGCAATTGACGTAGCTGAAGTTGCGTATCTTAATTTGACTTTTGCCCTGCAGGGAAGATATGCCTTTACTTGCCTCCTTCAAGTAATATGGGATAAACATTTCTGAGATGCCCAAGAAGTTCTTCTGCAACACCAGAGATGACCAGACTTTCCATTTCTGATATTTCTCAGGTGAAAATCAAACAGCGAAAGCACTCAGAACATTTCTAACCGTTTTTATCCATCCAACAAAAGCCCCAGACCATTTGCTTTTATGAGTTAGCTTTAAAGTCCCAGCTCCTCTGTAAATCCTGCAAATGCTTACACATGGGACTACTCATGAGTAACATTATTCATGTGTGTACATGACTACTGGATCAGAGCCTTTGTTAGAATAAAAATAATGTCACTGCCTCATTCTTGTAACTGGATCAGTGCAGGCAGACCTCTGTGCCTACACAGAGTCCCATTGACTTTGCAGGGGTTCACTTGGCTTCATTAGGATTTTGTGCATAGGAGTCTGTCCATCAGAGAGGAGTTGCAGGAATGTGCTTTTGTTATTGACAAGACTTCAGAGGATTAAAATGGAGGGAAGTTAGAAAGACTGATCTTTCTCTCTTAGGTACACTCTGCATTTCACACAGCTTGGAAAGTAAAAGTAGACCAGTTAGTTGCCTTTTGGTCTCTACTCAGTTTCATATCCTGCTTCAGGGGTGCTAATATGATGCTGTGGGTTTGGGGCTTTCAACACTCTAGGGGAAGGTTCAATTTAAACAAAGCAAAGCAAAGTGGTTTACCTGAAATTCAATTAAGTAGAGTCCTAGATGTTAGAGATGGTGGCAAGCTGCTAAGTCCCATCAAGTCTGCATGCTGGATTGTGCACAAGAGTATATTTTCTAGTGATCTTCTTTGTCTAGTTACGTAACCCAAGCAGTGTGGTTTCCCCTACTTCCCTCTGACAGGCTCATTCTCAGACATATGCAGCTCACAGCTTGGAATCTTTTTTCTAGTATTCAGTCGAATTAATGAACATGGCTCCAATTAACTAATTAACCTTTAGCATCATGGAAACTTGGGGAGTATTATTCCCATTTTACTGGTAGAGGCGGGGGAACTGATGCTTTGAGAGGTTAAGGACATTTTTTGTGTAATGGTCAAACACCTGTACTTCTCTTTGGCCATCAACAGGTGAATGACCCATGAACCTAGGTATCAGTGTCCCCGTAGGCACGCGCAGATTTTCAGGGTACTTTCCAATGTACTTTTCTTTTATCTAATTGTGTGTCTTTCATCTGCCTGCAGATGTCCTGATGTCCCTGTAAATCCAGCAAGGATTCTCCACAGGCTGGGGGCAGGGGTCCATTGAATTGAAAAGATTCCATCTGCCACAGTTCCCTGCTCCCCCTCCTTACTACGCTTGTACCCTCAAGATGGCATCTGACAGCCCAGAGTCGCTGATGATACTATGCACAGATTACTGCCTCCATAACCTGGAGGGGACGCTCTGCTACCTACTGGACAATGAGACCCTCCGGCTTCACCCTGATGTCTTCCTGCCGAGTGAGATCTGTGACAAGCTCGTCAACGAGTACGTGTGGGTGCTGCTGTCCGTTGGCAGCTGACGGGAGAAGCCAGGACTCTAGGGGAGGGACGCATACACTTTATACTTATTTCTGTTTGATTCTTATATTCGAAGTGTTGTTTTGGCTTCGCTTATTTTTCCTGGGAAGCTCTAGGATTGACTGGAGAGCTAGTCGGGATGTGCCCTTACAGGCTGGGAAAGCTGAGCACTGTAGGGGGAAAAAGAAGAGAAAAATGGTTTTTTACCTTGACAAGTTCAAATCTGGGAGGTGGGGAATAAAGAAAAATACTTAATTTGGGGTGGGAGGGGTTCAGTTCCAAGGATCTTGGGTGTTACTTGTAACAATATTAAGAGAGAAAATGTTCAGATGCAAGTGTGATTGTTATATCACTGAGGTCTTAGTCCTGGGCCTGACTCTCCATTGGCTTTACGCACCACTGTGCTGCACTACAGAATAGAGGGCCACAATAACAGACTCCATCATCGCCCCAGCCCTGTCCAAGGAATGCGCCCATTGTCAGGGGACATTTCCTGGATAGGCCACCCATGGGCTGTCCCGGGAGACCAGAGGGAGAGTCTTTCACATACACATGTTTTCGCTTGGCTGTAGCTGTGATGGAAAATCCCACCAGGCGTGCCCATATAAATCCCACTGATGAGCTAACCCTATTACTTATCACGTAGGTATGTGGAGCTGGTGAATGCAGACAGCATCTTTGAACCCCACGAGAGCTTCTTCACCCTGTTCTCAGATCCTCGGAGCACCAGGCTAGCCCGAATCCATTTGCGGGAGGACATAGTACAGGACCAGGACCTAGAAGCCATTAGAAAGCAGGTAGTATTGCATTTACATCTTCCTAGCTGTCACTCTGAAGCAGCCCACAGCAGAAAGCCTTCACGGCTCTCAGGGAGAACCACAGATTACTTGTGCATATTACCTGCTTTATCAGAATCCTAGCTGTGGGAGAACTTGAGACATCTTTATCCTCAGCTTTTCCCTGCAGGTGTTGCTTTAGGGAATGGAGTGGGACCACTGTATGGGAGCTCAGAGTATTCCAGTCCTAGCTGCTCCCAATAGGAGCCACTGTATGGAATGGTGTGGAAACACTGGCCATGTGAGAGCTGAGGACTCCAAACCTGGCTTCTGCCAGCAGTAGTTGCTATAGGGACCAGGGTAGGAACACTGACAGTGAAGTCATTCTAATATATTGGCTTCCTTCCTTCCAGGACCTTGTTGAGCTGTACCTGACTAACTGTGAGAAGCTGACAGCTAAGAGCCTGCAGACTTTACTGAGCTTCAGCCACACTCTAGTTTCTCTTAGCCTCTTTGGCTGCAGTAACATCTTCTATGAGGAAGAGAATCCAGGAGGCTGTGAAGATGACTGCTTAGTGAATCCCACTCGTCAGGTCTTGGTCAAGGACTTTACCTTTGAGGGCTTCAGCCGGCTGCGTTTCCTGAACCTGGGCCGTATGACTGAAGGGGTGAATGTGGAGACATTGCTTCGACCTTTGGCCTCCCTCACTGCCCTGGATCTCTCCGGCATCCAGCTCAATGATGTGGCATTTCTGACCCAGTGGAAAGACAGTCTGGTTTCCTTAGTGCTTTACAACATGGACCTTTCAGAGGAGCACATCCAAGTGATCGCACAGCTCCGCAAGCTCAGGTCAGCTAACACATTTTTCTTCCTCCTCTAGGTCTTACAGGTGCTCAAAGGTGCTCAGGATTAAGCCCCTAGGGTGATTTTCTGAGAGCATTTTCTTTATCCCAGGTCTTAGGCTGTGGTGGTAGAGGAACTGAGCTTTCTCTCAAGGGTGCTTGATCTTTTACTCCCTCTGCAGCCTAAAGCCCTGGCTGAAGCCAGTAGAGGATTTTTCTGTGTGAGGACAGCAAGATCAAGCATGCCAAGGAGGCTCCCTACTTTTATAGCTGATCCTCAGGCAAAATTACTCCTGGCGTGTTGGTACACTTGGATGCTGGTATCACAGCAGTAATTGCCGTGTGAAACCAAAACTGACTCCCACAGGTTGCTTGTCGAATGAGAAAGGCCAGCGTTTAAGCCTGGCTCACAGATAAGAAGCACTTAAGTCACATTTAGAAAATTCAAACCTGTGAGTCTTGTGCAGCCCATTCGTGCTCTTTTTGTGTCTCCTATGGGGGCACCAGAGCTACCACATGTCTCCTATGGGTAGGCAGTTGTACTGATGAAGTATATTATTTATTACGTGGTTTATTAATTTAATTTTATGTTTTTCATATAACATCAAACATAAAACTCCCAGGCAGTGGTGCTGGTGTTACAAAGATGAGTAAGTACAGCAGAGGTTCTCAGACTTCATTGCACCTTGACCCCCTTCCGATACCAAAAATTACTACATGACCTCTAGAGAGGGGACCAAAAGTCTGAGCCCCTCTGTTGTGAGTCGAGGAGCCAAAGCTGAAGCCCAAGAGCTTCAGCTCCAGGCAGGGAGTCTGTAACCTGAGCCCCACTGCCAAAGGGTGAAGCTCTTTGGCTTCAACCCCAGGCTCCAGTAAGTCTAAGCCAGTCCTAGGAGCCCATTAAAATGGGATCATTGCCCATTTTTGGGTCCCAGCCCATAGTTTGAGAACTGCTGCTGTACAGTATCATGGATACAATGTTCAGTCTGAAAAGGCAGGATTAGGAGAGCTTGTGTAGTTAATTTTGGGAGAAGAGGTAACAAGTCCTTCTGGGGATGAGAAGTTCTTCCGGTGCAATTTGATCCCCAGGTAGAAGATATATAGCCAGTTCCATGGTTAGAGACATAATCAGATGCCTGGTTGTGATGAAGACTGGGAAGGTAGGTTGCTCAGCCTACGGTAGTTGCCATTCTGGTCATTTAGCTGAGTAATTCTTTATACTCCATTCTGGACAGGCCCCCACTAAGAGCTGTAGAATCCAAGGGTCCTGCATTGCACTTAGGTTATACGCAGGAGTCCATCCTGCTGATAGTTCCACAGAGTCACATCCCGGTGTGTTGAAACATCAACAGCCATGCTTGTGCGTGGTCTCTGCAGGGCTGGGTTTGGCCTGGATGGATGCTCTCCAGACTGAGATACTTGCTGTCATTTCCAGGCACTTGGATATTTCCCGAGACCGTCTGTCCAGCTATTACAAATTCAAGTTGACCCGGCGGGTGCTGAGCCTGTTTGTGGATAACCTGGTAAACCTCTCCTCACTGGATATCTCAGGGCACACCATGCTGGAGAACTGCACCATTTCGAGCATTGAGGAGAAAGTGGGTCAGGCAAGGTAAGGCTAGAAGGCCAGGCAGGGAGGGCCATCACTGTGGAACTGGGGGAGGGGAGATTTTATTGAAAGCTGCAGGAAGGACAAATCTCTCTCTTGGGCTTTAGAATTCTTTAGAACTATTAATAAAAAGAAAAGAGATTTGTCACCAATTTCTAGTGATTGTAAAGCCTCTCCCCAAGTGGAATTGATCACCATGGATGAGAGCTTCAGAAGAATAATTAATTGGTCCTGCTTGGCAGTCAGTCACATCCATATGGGCTTTGCAGCTGTCTTTTGCCGTACGCATTTCCCACTTACTGACAGCTGTAAAAATAGTTTAGATATTATCCGCTTCCCTCCTACAGGATCACAGAGCTCTCCACAGACTGTACTTCTAAAACCCTCCTCCACTACTGATATCCAGGGACTTCAGGGGTGGAGCACAGCAGCCTTACTGCATCAGCGTCACTGCACAACAGTTTTAAGAAGTGTTAGTGAAGAAATTCTTCTGCTAATGACTGCGGGTATTTTAGGGAGCTGGAGTTACAATGCTAATACACTTGAACCTCTTTAATCTGGCAACCCTGAGAAACAGGATATGCCAGATTAAAGATTTTGCCGGGCGATGGAGGGCACAGGAGGAAATGGGCATGAGAGGAAGGAGGGCAAGGCACTTACCTGGCACCCCACTCCTGGGGCACACATGGTTCCACGCCTTGTGCTGCTCCAGGCACCGCCTCCCGCAACTTTGGGAGTAGCAGGGAAAAGCCACAAGGAAGCGCATTGCTGCAATACCATTCCCGCATTGGGAGGAGGGAGAGTGGCAGTGCACAGAGCTGCTTCCTCCTCGTACCACAGGTGTTCCCGGATTAGGCACATCCAAAGCGTGGAGGTTCAAATGTATTGAGATTTGTCAATACCACCCCCAGTGAGAGCTGGGCCTCTGCCTTCTGCAGGTCCCTTTGAAAATCCCAACCAGCATTTGGGATTTAATAGAATATGTGGCAAGACATGGGGGAGGGTTAGGGCCATGGGGCAACCAGCCCTTTCCCACCCAGAGAGTGGTGTGACCCCTTCCCTCCAGCCCTAACCACCTTCCCCCCAGTTAACTGCCCCTTGCCCCTCCCCCCGTCAGCAGGTCTGTGCAGCAGTCACTGTCGATGGTGTTCTAAGGCAGTGCTGACCCCAGTGCTTCTTTGTAATGAGAGGGGTGTTAAGCTGATGGCAGCCTTCCGATGAGAGAGAAAATCGGCTTCCTGACTATTTCTGATCATTAGAAATCCCCTGGCCCATTTTATAGTAATCCGTTTTACCCCTGCGCTCCTAGCCGAACTTGGGTAACTATATTCTCCCTGCTTGAGTCCCCCCTCATCATTTTTGTTGGACACCTTCACTTCTTGTGCAGAACAGAAGGGATCATCTGCGATGAAAGGGCCCAGTGAGGAGTATGATGTGACTGTCTTTAAAGATGCGATTGTCTGAAAGAAAGCCTTACCAGGATTTTGATGGGCTGTGACTGAATTTAGACCCATCTGCTCTGGCTGGTTGTGCAATATAATGGAAGCAGGCTGAGAGCTTTGTAACTTTCTCTATGGTGAAGGGAGATGAATAAACAAAGCTCAGACATGGACGATCTCTTCTTTTTTCAGCACTGAGCCCTCAAAGAGCAGCATTGCCCCCTTCAGGAATCTGAAACGACCGCTGCAGTTCTTGGGCCTCTTTGAGACCTCTCTTTGCCGTCTGACACATATTCCAGCCTACAAGGTAAAGTGCCTGTGGGAATAGAATCAAACAGTGTGTGATGGAAGTTAGAGACTCGGCCAGCGTATCAGAGCTCTCGGGCCCTGTGGAAGTGATACGTGCCTTGTGAATTATGGGTCCGCCTGAGGGAAGAATGCTGCAGTGGTGCAAGGTCCACGCTTTGTGCAGTGTTTGTGAGGGGAAAAAACAGCCATTTAGAAAGGAGCTTCATAAAGACACTCACACAACAGGGACGTAAAATCTCGTTTAAATAGTTAACTGGTTAAACGTTAACTGGTTAAGTGATTAAACGGGAATGAGGGGGGCATTGCAGCTCCGCCCACCATGGTTGGGCTGGAGCTGCCACTATGGGCAGGGACTGCTCCAGCCCAGCTGCCTATGATCTTGCACTGTGCTGCTGGTTCCCGGTTAACCGGTTACTTGTTCACATCCCTGCACACACACCCCAGCCATTCCCCACCCTGCTTGTAGCTCAACGGACACTCCACAATGGGTGTCTGAGGCTTAGGAAGAAATATCCAAACATAACCCTGCAAAGAGATACAACCTTGCCCTGCAGGGACCACTTCCTGCAGAGTTGGGCTGAGAGGTAACTCGCCTGGGTTCTCATGACTTGGGTCTCCTCAGAATGTATCCTGCCAGCAGGGTAGAAAAGGGCTGAGAGAATTCATGCACCATTTGAGCTGCCTCCCTCCTGCTGATTCCTTTTTCTGCAAATCTTTCATTCTCTTGCTACCCTCTCTCTTGACCAACCCCCTCTTATCCTGGTTTCTTCCTCCCCGACATGATTTTTTTTCTTCCTTGCTGCCAGGTGAGTGGGGACAAGAACGAAGAGCAGGTGCTGAACGCAATTGAGGCGTACACGGAACACCGGCCTGAAATCACATCTCGAGCCATCAATCTTCTTTTTGACATCGCCCGCATCGAGCGCTGCAACCAGCTGCTGAGAGCACTGCAGGTGAATGCCCTGGCACTCACCCACAGGCAGAGCTCACCTCCCTTGAGCACAGTCACATTAAGAGGGAGGGGGATTTTACAGCAGAAAAATCAAACCTTTTCCCGTGGCTTAAGGCTTGATGCAAAGCCCAGTAAAGTCAATGGAAAGATCCCCATTTCTTTTGGCTTCAATGGGCTTTGCATCAGGCCCCTGAAGAGGAAGTTCCAGTAAGTAGCACAATGGAAATAGGGGCTGTGATTTTAGGAGGTGCCTTATGACTTCATTGAGCAGCCTTTTCCAGCTGTGCCTGGGCTCTTTGTCCCTTGAATGCTTGTATTGATCTTTACCTGGGTAGGGGTAACGGTGACATGGAGGCACAGCTGGGACTAAATGGCACTACAAGCTCCCGTGTTTCTTTGTAGCTGGTGATCACAGCACTCAAGTGTCACAAGTACGATAAGAACATCCAGGTGACTGGGAGTGCAGCACTTTTCTACCTAACAAATTCAGAGTATCGGATGGAGCAGAGCGTGAAGCTGCGACGTCAGGTGATCCAGGTGGTGCTGAATGGCATGGAGTCTTACCAGGAAGTGACAGTAAGAACTCAGTCAACCTTTACCGTGCTCTTGCTGTTCTCCCTCTTTCCTTTCTCCCAGTAACAGGCTATTTCCAGCACTTTGTACCTTCCGGACACTTTGAGCTCATTGAACGTGTATCAAGGCATGCCCTGGAGAAACTGTTGCCTATATTTGGTTATGCATTCACTTTATAGGTGGGTGGGTGCAATTGTATGTGGGACCTACTTTGTACATGTGATGGTGACATGGTTCTGTAGTAATTGGTGCCTTTGTATTTCAAGTGAAGGTGACTCGCTCTGGATTGCATGTGGCGCATACACATTGTGGTGGGGTAGGGGAGCAGATGGACAGAGCGCATGTTGAGCATATTGAGCCATAGGCTGGATGTGCAGTGTACTGTTGCGTTGAAGGATGTTGCATGTGTTTGTGGTATTTCTTTTGAGGTGAAGATAGGGACAACACTGTGTGGCCACTGTACATGTACAGTAGGAGGATCCATTGTGTCAGCCAGCCCTCAGCTTGTTCTGCTTCCCCCTCGGTAGGTGCAGCGGAACTGCTGTCTGACACTGTGTAACTTCAGCATCCCAGAGGAGCTGGAATTCCAGTACCGTCGTGTCAATGAGCTGCTGCTGAACATCCTCAATCCAACTCGGCAGGATGAGTCCATCCAGCGCATCGCTGTACACCTCTGTAATGCCTTGGTCTGCCAAGTGGACAATGACCATAAGGAGGCTGTGGGCAAGATGGGTTTTGTCATGGTTGGTATGGTCTTAGGATGGCTGCTAATCCCTATCCCAGACTAAGCTTTAATCCCATGAGAAAGTCCTTTCCATGACTTCCATTGGAAGTATCTGTGGAATAGGTGCAGTAAATAATCCAGCTCCCAAGTGTCACAGAAAAGTATTGCAGTCAGGAAAAAGTAGAGTTTTAGCAGTGCTGTCCTAGCATGGAATCCACCATTCTCAATCTGAGCCACTTGAAAGTACGCCAGCAGGGGAAGTAATTACTTTGGTGGTTTTCTGTCAGAGGCTACGTCTATTTACAGGCAGAAAGTACGCCAGCAGGGGAAGTAATTACTTCGGTGGTGTTCTGTCAGAGGCTGCGTCTATTTACAGGCATGGGAGGCAGCATGATCTCAACACAAGGCCAGGAGTCATGACTTTTGAGTTCTAATCTAGGCTCTGCTATAAATTTACTGTGTGGCTTTGGGTAAGCCTCAGAACCTCTTCATGCCAGTCTCTGTCCATAGAAGGCAGACTGACCCAAAGAACAATTAAAAAAAAGTTGTTTCTGCAACTAGCATAATCCTCTTGGCAACTATGTGAGGCTTTTTATTTGGACATGTCTGACTAACAACCCTTCTTTGGGATACAAAATGGCCCAGCAGATGAGAGAGACTCCTGACTCTCCAGAGAGAGGAAAAGATCTCTGCCTATTTAGAGATAATAAAATCTGCAGAACTTTTCCATTGTGGTTACTGCATGGATAGTGGGCTCAGTCCATTGTGACAAGAGTCAGACCTCCCTTCACACCTTCAGTTACATAGATTGGGTGAACACGTTTCTTTGTCTCACTTGACAGACAACATTGTCCAAGTATTGGACCAGAAATTGTGCATGTGGGTGTGTGCGCACAGTTTGGGGAGTTTCTTCTACAGGAAGGCTCTCTGCTCCTTTTTTTAAATAAGCAAAATCTTTTTCTGGCATCAACTCTCCTGCCACACATTCCAGCTCCTTATCCTCCCCATTAAGACTCTGCTCAAGTTCTCTGCTATCCATGCCTCTGCTTTCATCTTCTCTAGTTTCCTATTTCCCATTTTCCCTTTCTTTCCTTTACCCACTCTTGACTTCATGGTTCCTTTCATGCTCCCCCTTGAGTTTGCAACAGCCTCCCTGTTAAAGTCTAACTTCTGAGGACCCATCTTTTTCATCAGACTATAAAGAGCACATACCAGACTATTTACTTCTCAGTGAGCTGTACTATACTGAAATCTTCCCTCTTGTGCCTTTAGCTCTTTAGACCAGGGAGCTGTTACCTGGATGGTACAGGTCATTTGTTGTACTCTGCTGTGTGAACGAGTGGGATTGTTGTTTATACAGTTCCACTGAACCACAGAAAATAACACTGCTTTTGGAAGGGATAGGAGGGACATTTGCATTCTGCACATCAGATTCCAGATACATAGAAGCAAATCCAATCCATGAGTAAACATGACTTCCATTTACTTCAATGAGAGCTGCGCCAGCTTATGTCAGGACTGAGTTTGATGTACAGTCTCCATTTTAATTTCTGTGATTCCTGACCTGCTCTTCCACTTCTCATTCCCTTCCCTCTGCCTGCAGACCATGCTAAAGCTTATTCAGAAGAAGCTGGTGGATAAAACAGTAAGTGTTTCCTCTTAAAATCGCTAAGCAAAGTCACCCCAGTTGTAGTCCCTCTGCCCCAAGGTGGAGAGGACAACTGGGGGGAATTGGGCAAATTGGCCTAAAGCCGGCCCTGCCTGGAGGCTTGTGGGGAGTTGGCACCTCTGAACAAATTAGATAATGGCGGTGTTTGTGTTGGTGGGTCTGAATCGAACAAAGACTGGCCCCTTTCAAGGTGACAGCATTTTCCCATCCTTCTGATTAGTTTGCACTGGGCTCCTGTATTACCTGAGCCCTGTCCGTAGTTGTCAGTGCCGCATTCTCCACTCCACTGTGTATTACCATCTCCTTCCCTCTGGCTTGACAGTGTGATCAAGTGATGGAGTTCTCCTGGAGTGCCCTGTGGAATATCACAGATGAAACTCCCGATAACTGTGAGATGTTTCTCAACTACAGCGGAATGAAACTCTTCCTGGAGTGCCTGAAAGTAAGTTCAGTCCGGTATCTTCTACGCCAGAGGTTCTCATACTTTACTTATTGCCTACTCCCTTCCAGATCTACCAGCTACTCATGTACGCCTGCCCTTCTCAGCACTGATACGTTGTGTGCTCTTCTTAACACTACCTGCCTTTAGCTATCTGTCCCTATTTCACTGTTACATATAAATATAGTGTGACATATACAACCAAAAAAACCCCAAAACACCCTAAGTTCTGAATTCAGGAAGACTGAAAAGTTGCTGGGCAATTGAACCTTTGCTGGTTGTGACTGGAGATGGGCGTCTGTGTGTATCTTTATTTTCACTGGTACATCTTGAAGTAAATCAACTATCTTATTTTATATAATAAATTCCCACAGAGTTTTAAAGCTTTGTCTGAGTAGCCAATTATGCAGTAAATAAAATAATCTACTATATATTTTAGAGAGTTTGTCTGCCTATTTGATGAAAAACTCCTTTTAAACAGTAAGAGCTAGGATCACCAAATTTAGTATAAAGCTTCCTCTGATCATAACTTAAAGCAAGGTCAGGGTTTGGTTGTGCCAAGAAAACGGGGATGAGCCTGGAATGGGATTGCTTCTCATAAAGCCAAACAGAAATAAGACTCACCAAAGCAAGTACAGTCCTCAAAATTGACATAACTGAGTGAACGTTGAAAGAGACTGAACCAAGATGAGTCAGAAAAATAGGAGGAAACTGGAATAGGATTGTTTCTCAATAAACCTTACAGAACTGAGATAAAGCAGAGCAATTTGAAGTAGTGCTCTGTTTTGGCAAGGCTAAATCAATGCTCTTGATAAGGAGAAGAAACTGTTATTGGAAATCCCATCAACTATTGCCCTTTTTTGTTAAAACAGTGAATTAAAAGAGTTTATAGGGAGAAAGAAACAAAATACACTTGATGGAATTCCCAAATTACGGACCCAAGCAATGCCAGGTAAATGTGCTAGTTAATAAATAAAATTCACCATACACAACTTCCCCTTGTGGCCCCAGGTATTCATTAGGGATGTAAAAAGTCAACTGGTTACCAGAAGGCCAGGCCAGCAGGAGCAACCTCCTGCCCACAGCATGGGGCAGCCAGCTAGCTGGGGCAGCCCACAGCACAGTGGGGCCAGCTGGGCCGGAGCAGCCTGTGGTGCAATGAGGCTGGCTGGGCTGGAGCAGCCCCACCCATAGAGGGCCGGACTGGAGGAGCCTCCTGCCTGCAGTGGGCTGACCAGCAGGACCCCAGCAACCGTGGCCCCTCCCTGGAGCAGCCCTCTCTTCAGGACCCCAGCCGTACTGCACTAGCCCTTCATGGTTAACCAGTTAAACGATTAAAATTGTATCGTTTAACCAGTTAACTTTTTTAATGGGAATTTACATCCCTGTTGTGCATATCACACTTTGGGAACCCTGGCTCTCCATGTCAGTTGTGACTGAGTCCTGGCTCGTCAGACCCCTGCTGGAAGCAAAAAGAGAAAGCAGAGAAAATCAATACATGCTCTGCTCCTCCACATCCATCCATCCTAAGAGCACAAGGAAACTGTGCACTTCTATCTTATTTACTCTCTCCCACTGTATGTCCTGTGCCTGGAGATGCATTTCCCTCTGGGCAAAGTAGCTATGTCAAGCAGTGAAGAACTGTCCCTTGCTTTGCAGAGATTTGGTTCACTCTCACCTATCATGTTTTGAATGCTAAAAACCTCATCACCCCAAGAGGAGAGCTGCACCCCTGCCTGTTGAGACAGTCTGCCTCCCTGGCTTTGCTGCACAGCCACAGTGGTCATACTTTTGTTTTACACATGTTCCTTGTTTCCTCAGGAGTTCCCAGAGAAGCAGGAGCTGCACCGTAACATGTTGGGGCTTCTGGGAAATGTGGCGGAGGTGAAAGAGCTCCGCCCACAGCTCATGACCTCCCAGTTCATCAGTGTGTTCAGGTTGGTACATCACTGATCAATAAGCAGTGTGGTCTAATGCAGTGAGGGGCAACCTAGGCTAGTGAGGGGGCTGCATGAGTGACCCTCTTTCATCTCACTGGGCTGCAAGATTGTTGGAACCAAGATAGTGTCCCAGGATAGGGTAGTTTTGCTAATTGCACTTGCATCCCTAGAATTTGCGGGGTGCTCCAATTGAATGGCACAGTTCTGGGCCCCCCACTATAGAAAGGATGTGGACGCATTGGAGAGGGTCCAGTGGAGGGTGACCAAAATGATAAGGGGGCTGGAACGCATGACCTATGAGGAGAGACTGAGGGATTTGAGTTTGTTTAGTCTGCAGAAGAGAAGAGTGAGGGGGGATTTGATAGCTGCCTTCAACTTCCTGAAGGGAGGTTCCAAAGAGGACGGAGAGAGGCTGTTCACAGTATTCTGGATTGCAGAACAAGGAGCAATGGTCTCAAGTTACAGTGGGGAAGGTCTAGGTTGGATATTAGAATAATAGAATAATAGGACTGGAAGGGACCTCGAGAGGTCATCGAGTCCAGCCCCCCACCCTCAAGGCAGGACCAAACTCCGTCTACACCATCCCTGACAGATGTCTATCTAACCTGTTCTTAAATATCTCCAGAGAGGGAGATTCCACCACCTCCCTTGGCAATTTATTCCAATATTTGACCACCCTAACAGTTAGGAATTTTTTCCTAATGTCCAATCTAAACCTCCCCTGCTGCACTGTAAGCCCATTAACTATTTCACTAGGAGGGTGGTGAAGCACTGGAATGGGTTACTTAGGGAGGTGGTGGAATCTCCATCCCTAGAGGTGTTTAAGTCTCGGCTTGACAAAGCCCTGGCTGGGTTGATTTAGTTGGGATTGGTCCTGCCTTGAGCAGGGAGCTGGACTTGATGACCTCCTGAGGCCTCTTCCAGCTCTGTGGTTCTATGATTCTAATGGTATCAGCTCTTTGATTGGATGCAGAGGGATCACATGGCTTTCTCAGTCAGTGCTGTGTCTGGTCAGCACACACCTCATTTCATGTGCCTTTGCTTTATGTGTGTCACTTTAGCAATTCCAGGAGGGAAAAAATACGCAGACAAAAACTAGCAGAATCTGGCAACCCTGCATGTGGGCAATGCTAAGCAAAATGTCTTCTAGGTGACACATAGAACCAAGGTTGCCCACCACTGATCTAATGGCTAGAGCAATGTACTGAGACCTGGCTACTCTTCCAGGGTATGTCTACACTACCCTCCTAGTTCAAACTAGGAGGGTAATGTAGGCATACCGCACTTGCAAATGAAGCCCGGGATTTGAATTTCCCGGGCTTCATTTGCATAAGCGGGGAGCCGCCATTTTTAAAACCCCGCTGGTTCGAACCCCGTGCAGCGCGGCTACACGGGGCACGAACTAGGTAGTTCGAACTAGCGGGGTAGTGTAGACATACCCCCTGAGTGCCACTGAGTCACTGTGTAATGTAGGGCAGTCATTTAATGTTTATACATCAGTTCCCTCCTCCCTTTTAACTAAACAAAAAAACATAGTTGGACTGGTGCTGTTTTGGAATTTTCAGATGGTGGCTGCAATCTAAATACAAAGTATCATCCATAAAACCAATTTGGGAAGCTAGTGCTTGTCAAGCTATTTTGTATAGGTTGAGGTGTCCAGTCTAGTTAGGAGATAACTTATCTTGTTAGAGTTCATAGGGGCTGCACTGTTTGCATGCTAAGTTTTTTGTCCCTGATGTGCTGAGTAAGGCTATCCTGGCACCTCTGAAATCTTACCTTCTGTCCTGGTAGCAATCTGTTGGAGAGCAAAGCAGATGGGATTGAGGTATCTTACAATGCATGTGGAGTTCTCTCCCACATCATGTTTGATGGCCCAGATGCTTGGGGGATCTGTGAGCCGCGCCGAGAAGAAGTAGTAGACAGGATGTGGGCAGCCATCCAGAGCTGGGATATTAACTCCAGAAGAAATATCAATTACAGGTGAGTGAGGTTGGATTTTGGCCCATTTATTTTCGGGAGTGGGGAACGTCCCAAAGAGTAACCTCAAGCATGGTGGTGATGTGACCAACTGTGGAACTTCTCCCTGGGATGAGGAAGAAATTTCCCATCCAGACACATTCTTTTAGCTGGGGTTTTTCAGCTTCCCTTGAGTTCCATTTGGAGATTAGTGGAACCATTGGTTTTATGTGCGCAGGTAATTGCGACACTTCTAAATAGAATATGGAGAAAACTAAAATAGTCTGGATCCTTAGTTTCTCTTGAGAGAACACAATAGAACTGTCCTGGAATGAGATTTGGGCACAAAACGTAGAATCTTACTGTCTTAGGCTGCTTAAAAACATTTCTCCAAGGAATCCGTGTCTTGCTGTTGGTTAAATTCGGATTCCTAATTAAAGGTACAGCCAGGGTAAATGTCCCTGCCTGCACAAAATGGGTTGATGCAGCCTTCAACATGCCTTCGGGGATGTTTAGACAAGCCTCCCAAAATTCCCTTCAGGTGTTACGGTGATTTGTGTCCCACTTTAAAAGCTGCGTCAGGAACTTTGGAATGCCACAATCCCCTGGTACAGCAACAGACGGAATGAATTGCAGGTGAGGATGCAGTACTAGTGGTGATTCCAAAACCTGATTTGCAGTGTAGATGCATTTCACTGTTGCAAGAACAAATGGCACAGCCGTTGTTTATGAATGATCAGTAGTCCTCTCAGCTGTACCTTAGCCTAGGGTAGACAGAGTAGCACATTAAGTGTAGTGCATCTACAGAGAGGTCAGTACTGCTGAATTTCAGCTTTCATAAGGACATTTGCCTGGAATAGGATAGAAATTAGTTTCTCCATTCAGTCCTGCAGGGCTGGTTCTCAGTGCCGCATGGTGGTATTAAACAGCCGGGATTGAGTGTGCCAGCACCCCAAACTATGACTAATTTTTTGCTACTGGGAGCTGATATACCAGTGAGCTTTACTGCTGTGTAATGCATTTGATTTGACTGCAAAGCTTCCAGTACCAAAGCAGGAAAAGATGCTGAAAGAGCAGCTTTTGGGATTTTAAATTTTACCCCTTTAATATTTTTACAGGTCATTTGAACCAATCCTTCGACTTCTTCCACAAGGGATCTCACCTGTCAGCCAGCATTGGGCTACCTGGGCTCTGTATAACCTTGTTTCTGTCTACCGTAAGTACTTCCGTAAAGAACATTGTAAATGCAGTGAAAAGGTTGGCACTATGAATCTCCCTACAGTCTGCCTGATAGATAGCAGGAGTGCAGAAAAGTCTAGAGAAAATATTTTCAGAGGTCCATTGATTAATACAGAATACGTGGCTAACTCCAAGGAAACTACTTGAAGTTGTCAAAGCTGTTCAAGGGGAGTAGCCAGAACTAAGAGGGAACATAGACTAAGTGCATGAGAACAAGATTCTGGAGCTTCTATCACTCCAGCAAGCTTGAGCACTGAATTGGTTTCTACCTCTGATATGTCTACAGATTGGATACACCTAAGAGGCTGAGCCACTAGAAGGAGAAACCTGTAACCTATGGCTTACTAGCCAGCAATTTTCTCACTGCTTCCCTATCTCCCCTTGATTGGCGTTCATTGCCTTGGGAGAAGAGTCAGGCTGCAGGATGTAGAGAATTGACCCAGTAGCAGTGAAGATTCCCAGGGTTCTGTTTCCCCTTCTTTACAGCTGACAAGTACTGCCCCCTGCTGATCAAAGAAGGTGGAATGCCTCTCCTGAAGGACATGATTAAGATGGCTTCAGCACGGCAGGAGACCAAGGAAATGGCCCGGTAGGAAACCAATAAGTAGCTATTAAATGAAACCTTGATTTAGAATTGTTTATATGTAAGAATCAGAATAAGGGTACCACACAAAGGCCAGTGACTATGTGATTAGGGATGGAGAGAAGAGAACACAAATAGTAGTATTTCTAGCTGGATAGACAAGATGGGAAGGATTTAGGTGAATTGAGAGATGTTCATCAATGTGGAACAGACAAATCTGAATGGGTGAATGACTTCATTGGATAGGACAAGTAAGGCATCGATGGACTGCTGGAATGTATTTAGATGAATATTACTGCCATACCTCTCAATTGAAGGTATTACTGCCATACCTCTCAATATGATTATAGAATCATAAAACTGGAAGGAACTTTGAGAGGTCATCAAGTCCAGTCTCCTGCACTCATGGCAGGACCAAGCCCTGTCTTGACCATCCCTGGCAGGTGTTTGTCTAACCTGCTCTTAAAAATCTCCAATGATGGAGATTCCACAACCTCTTTAGGCAATTTATTCTAGTGCTTAACTACCCTGACAGGAAGTTTTTCCTAATGTCCAACCTAAACCTCCCTTGCTGCAACTTAAGCCCATTGCTTCTTGTCCTATCATCAGAAGTTGAGGAGAATAATTTTTCCCTCGACCTTGTAACAATATTTTTAGTACTTGAAAGCTGTTATCATGTCCCCTCAGTCATCTCTTTTTCAAACTAAACATCACAATCCTTTCAGGTTTCCCTCATAGGCCATGTTTTCTAGACCGTTAATAATTTTGCTGCTCTTCTCTGGGCATTGTCCCGTTTTTCCACATCTTTCCTGAAATGTGGCACTCGAACTGAACATAAGAATGGCCATTCGGGGTCAGACCAAAGGTCCATGTAGCCCAGTATCCTATCTGTCGACAGTGGCCAATACCAGATGCCCCAGAGGGAGGGATCACAACAGGTAATTCTCACGTGATCCCTCTCCTGTCTCCCATTTCCAGAGAAGCATGGGTGTCAGATGTGGGGAACAGAATTGCCAGGCCCCTAGGCAAGGTGGGAGGGGCAACTCCATGCTCCCAGAAGAGGAGGGGCCTTGAGTGGAAGGGATAGGCCCCTTAGCACCACCAGGAGTGTAATGCCTGAGCTCTGACCACCACTGCTGCCACAGTAGCAGTGGTAGTAGCTGGGAGCCGTTGACCCTTTTCAATTGCCAGATCTCTGGGCAGTTGCCCCCTTTCTCCAACCCTGTTGGCCGGCCTGGTGACAATCACTTCCAATAGCTGAAGGAATGATAAAGGGTGGACAGGGATGCTTATGCAAGACCGTGTAGGAGATTGAATAATAGGGTAGATGGATTTTGTATGGGTCAGAAGGTGCATGAGTGACTGGGACAGTGGAAGAATAATAGATGGTATATGAATAAATTAATAACATAGTAAGTAAATGGAACAAGGAAGGACCTTGTACAAGCAAGGAACCGCTCAATTGTAGACAGATGGGTGCAAGAGGAGATGACAGAAAAGCAGATGAATGATGGATGTTTGGATGAGCAGATTATTAGATGTGTTGATGACAGAAATGGGAGATGAGGGTGTGATGGTCAGTAAATAATGGATGGGCTGATCAACTGACAGGTGGATCTGGGTGTGTGTTAATGTTGGGAGGGATTGGTTGTAAGTGGATAGTTACAGCTTTTTTTGTGGAGGTGTACGTGTAACACAGGTACTGGGTTGATGCCTATCTCAGGATAGGTTGCCTGATACATACACTGCATTTAAATGTAGCTGACAGTGTCTTATGCTTGTGGCCCACTTCATTATTTTCCTAGTCTTTGGACTAAACCTTTTCTCCTTGTCCTTATTTTGTTCATAGGAAAGTTATAGAGCACTGCAGTAACTTTAAGGAGGAGAACATGGACACTTCCAGATAGAGGCAGTGATCTAACAACGCCTCTTGCCAGCACTGTATCCAGCTTCTCTCTAATTCACTGTATATAGAGAGGACTCTTTCTCACCAGCGTGGCTGTTGGAAGGAAAGCGTGTGTGTGTGTATATGTATATGTGTGTGTGTGTGTGTGAGAGAGAGAGAGAGAGAGAGAAAGATCCTCAGTAGATGAAGGTGCACAGGGGTGGGGGACTTTTGCACAACAAATGCTTTCCTTAAATTAGTGGGGTTTTCGTTATAAAGTACGGATTGAAGTTTTGTGTATATGATTTCTGTATAAAAAACAAAAAAAATCATGTATCTTTTGACCTTTTTTAGACCACATGAGAAGCCTCAAATGAATGTGAGCTTGAAGATCTAGCTGTGTGATTGGTATTGTGACTTTTTTTATTTCACACCATTAGAAGTTCCCTTTCTCTATGTTGCATGAGATCCTGTCATGTCTACAAAAACAGCCAATCCAGCATCAGTGTGGCCACAATTTCTACAATGGGGCTGTAGGCACTGATCAATGATTTATTTGCCGGGGGAGGGGGCAGGGAGTAATGGGAAGAGACTGAGACCAAAGGGATCCTAATATTTGTAAGTAGAATAGTAAGGGAGCCTTCAAGCCATTTCAGTCACTCAGTGGATTTTTGTATGGAGTCTTACTAGTGGAAGCTTGACTGTATATCAGATGCATTTGGAAGTTCTTTGCTGTAAAGCATTCCCATTAACCCTTTAAACCCAGGAGTTGTGACTTTGCCCAGTAGCACTACACCTGGTATACAGGGTGAAGAAAAGGCCAGAAAAACCAGCCATTCTGCCCTTGAAAATGGGGGGTGTTTTCCTGCAAGGGATACTGTGCAATAAAGAATCAGGTTCACTCACAGAGCGTCCAATCTCTCCAGCCCTCCATGCAAGGTCTTTACCACCAGAGGATGGGTTTTCCCCTTACTCTTGGCCAGCTTTCTCTGGGACCCAGGCCAGTCACTACTGCATGGTTTAGTGACCAGAATTTGTGAGGGACTGGGAATGTTCTTTTTTTTTCTCAACTCTGGGCTAAGATTTGCCATGTTAAATGGGAATTCAGCTTCCCTGTATGTCAAGCCCATTGCAGCACAAACCTTGTGGATAAGAGGGCTGACAGCAGTTCCACTTCACCCACATACGCTCTCTCCGTGTCTTCTTGGAGACAAAAGATCCCACTATCCTCCAGCTCATACCAGTACTAGTCTCCATCTGTATGACTCACCAAGGTTGGCCTTCCGTCTAGGTCCCCCAGCAACACATTGCGCAGCCTGCAGAACCCAAACCTGGGACCCCTCTGCTTGTCCTGGTTCTTTCGCAGTTAAGATAATCACCTTCCCTTAGAAAGGGCTGTGTATCCAGGAGCAACCAGGAGAGGTTTGGCCAACTTGAGCTGAGACATTTCAGGCCCTTGAGGGTGTGTCTACACAGCACGCTTACCTCAAAATAAGCTACACCCTTTGCGCTATCCTATGCTTATTTTGAAATAGAGCGCTATTCCGACAAGCCCTATTCCGGGCATGTTTAAAGACACTGTCTAGGCATAGCCTGAGACAGCACAGTAAGCCCGTCTGTTTCTCCTCTGCTCTCTCTCCCTATCCATTGTGCTCTGATTTGTTTCACTGCTATGGCTGAGGTTCTCCCAAAGCTCAGTGAATGCTGCCTGTGGTCGTAGTGGATAATTCTCACAGCAAGGAATGACACGTTGACAGTACCCAGCTGCCCTGGAGAGGTTTAGTTTTTCTGCCCAGATGGTGATTTTTTTTTTTTTTTCCTTTTTAACCCTGTGTCATTTGGCTTGATATCGTGAGATCCGTCTGTTGGGGTTGTTTGTTTGCTTCCTTTTAAGTACTTTCAAACTTGCAAATATACACTCGTGTCACTTCTGGTTGTTTTCATGTTTGGGAAAACTTGACAAATTGTATTTTTGAGGTTCTTTGCTTCCAGTGTATTTGCCTTTCCCCTCTTCCCAGACGACTTGCATCTGATTAAGCTTCGGGGCAGAGAGATGATTGCTAAGTGTTTGTACATGCTCTAGCTTGTCAGTCTTTTACTTAGACGTATAACTAGGTGGAGCTACAAACATTGCTCCCCTGTCTCCTTGCACATGGGGATCCTGGGCATTCAGCAGAGAGGCTAATGCAGATAGCCCAAAGCATTTTACAGTTCTGTCCATCTCTTGGCGTACCACAGATGTGAGACAACAAGGAGCTTGATGGGCTCCACTCTGCACACTAACAACTGCTATGCTAATGGAGCTGATACCTCTCAATACTTTCCTACCATGTTAATGCGGGATTTGGCCTTGCAGCATAGCCAGAATCAAGTGATGCTTTAAGCATAGTCTAGCCTTGGACTGTAGAAGGATAGCACTGTGTTTTAGGAATACAATTAAAACATGGTTTATTTCTGTCTATTCCAAGACTGTATTGTGTCAGGATCTGCTGTGTTGCAACGAAGGTTTTAATGTGACAAATGGGTAGGAAGCCCCAAGGATACAGGTGTGACCATCAGCTCTGGGATGCGTCTTCAGGAAGTTGCTGGTTTTGCACAGTTTGATTATATCCCATGTTTCCTGAGAAGCAAGTCACTGTATGGCGGTAACTGGCCTCCAGAAGAATCAGGAACTCAATGAGAAAGTTAAGGAAAGTCCTAGCTAAACATTCCTACTTCATAGCTTCTATGGTGTGGCTTGTCTTTTCTGTTGTGACTTGTCTGTTCCACCTGCTTCTGAGTGCAGGGGGTGATGGAATACCTGCTTCAACTTTGCCAGCCCCCACTTTCTCCCCATGAGATCTGGTACTACAGTCAGTATTGGCTTGGCACTTGTTTCATCAGGTCCAAGGCATCTGAGGCATGGTTTATGGAGAATGGTGTTAACAGGTCCAGCTTGGACAGCGGATCGTCTCATCTGCTCTTTGCTCACTGACGCTCTTTAACGTACAACTTATCCTCTGATCATCCTTCTGTACACACTCCTTGTCTTATCCTTGCTGCTATTGCCAGTGTTGCTGACAGCTACTGGATACATGCCCTTAGGATAGCTTTAAAAATAACTTAAGAAGATTGGAAGACTGAAGCTGGGGTGGGGGAAGGCAGGATGGGAGCTGGAAATGAGTTAAAGTTGTTTGATGCATCACATCTATCCTGTGATGAGAGATTGCTCCTTATTAGAGAAGCAAATGTCAAGACAAAAAGTGAGTCTTAATAAAAGCCCATCAGAGATGGACCGTAGGGCGATTGTTAAGATCTTTTTGGGAATGGAGATGGGCCTGAGACTGAACTGAAAGCAAAATCTTTTCAAAGTCAGTCTGTTTGTGAGGACTAATAGATTCAAACAGGCTAAGCTGATAGGAGAGTTCTGGTCTATACAGTTTGTAAATGTCTGAAGTGTGGGGGAGGCAATATCCATAAGCTAGTCAGGATCTATAGAAGACAAGTATTTGTACAGAAGAGAGAAGGGTATTTTCAGAGCACAGGCCTGGGATCCAGGAACTCCTATGTTCTAGTACTGGCTCGGTAGCCTTAAGCTAGTCACTTGAGCACTGTGTGCCTCAATTTCCCCATCTGGAGAACAATAATGATAACAATATTTATGTGCCTATTTCCTAAGGACATTGTGATGCTTAATCCATGATAGTAAAGCACTTTTGGAGGTGAATAGGTGCAAAGTAATTATTTTATATGGCCCCTCCCTGGGACCGACCTCTCATCTTCAGCTGTTTCCCATCAAAGCACACAACACGGTGTAATTCTGATTTTGTGACTGTCTCGGGGAACACCTGGCTCCTTCATAAAATATGGAGTTTGAATTGTCAGGGATGCCCCGAGACTGCTGGCTAACCTATGCAGATAACTTTACCCAGGTAGAGCAGGAAGGCGAAGCAAAATTTTTCTCAGTTCAACCCTGACAACATACCCACCCCTGGGCTAGCTGGAAATGTCAATTAACCAGAGTGGCACTGCTTGCTAGAGCCAACTAAGAAAGCCAAGGCAGAGACTGTCAGTGTCAATTGAAATACAGCTGGAGAGTGATTTTTGAAGCTCTCAAAACTATGATTTATCAGACACTCCTCTCACAGTATCCTCCAGGGCTGAGATTTACCCCCTTCTACAAAGCCCCAATTTTCACTGAATGTTAAATGGGAGAGCAGGCATAACAGGTGCATACATCAGTGATTCTCTGCGGAGACAGTGCTGACAAGGGTCTACATCAGGAGTTTAGGTAACTTGTACCCCACTTGTCAGAAACAATGGCATAATGCCAAGTGCCCTCCATTCCCAATGTAGTCAACAGGAAAGGCATCTTCCAGTAGGTATTCAGCCCCTAGCAAGTCTTGTAGAAGCAATAACCTCTGTGTATTGGCCCATCAAGCTGCATAGCCTTAACTTGCATCACCTAATAGCACAAGAACAGGGAAAACTTAAAAACCAACAAATAGTCTAGTAGCACCTTAAAGACTAACAAAACATGTAGATGGTATCATGAGCTTTTGTGGGCATAACCCACAACTTCATCAGGGTTCAAAAAATGGGCAACGCACTGATAATCAGTACTGAGACTGTGAACACTTATTAACATGACCGATAGTTCATCTTCCCCTTGCACACTAACTGCTCAAGACGTCCTTCCAGCCTAATTCCTTCCATCCTAGGAACTGAGCATTCTGGTCCCGGGGCTGAAGCACACCCGGCCCTGAAGACGAGGGTATGTATATCCCAGTGAACACACAGACAAAAGAAGGGTTTATTGTAACTCCTGCTGCCTGTTTTAGGCATTTTGTGGGGTCACTTGTTTGGGTCTCTGTCTAGAGAAGAGAATGTGAGGAAGGCTGCTGACCACACTTTTCAATATGAACTTCTTCCAGTCCAATTAGTGGAGCCTTACTTGAGCAGTCTCAGAGCTGGTTGTGGTTCACTTCTCTTCAGGAAAGTGCCCCTCTTGTGTGTGGGGGGGGTGGAGGGGTGGGAGGGGACAGCAACCATCAGTCTTTGGACTCTGGATTAAGATCCTGTTTGAAAGAAAATCTGCAGCCTCTGGAATGATGTAAAGGGGTTTGCTCAGTCAGATACTAAACAATGGCTTGTGCTGGAAAAGACAGAATTAAAAGTAGTAGGAACCACTTGTCTCCAAGACAACCAGCATGAATAAAACAAGATGAATGATAGCTTGATCAGTGATTGATGGAAAGCAAGATTGGGGGCTGGCAGGGTATTCTGATTCCAACCATCACTAGATTAGTCAACCTTTCCTTGTTAAAAAATAAAAGAGAAGTGTTTGAAGTAAGGCTAGCAATTAACCAGATCTGTATTTCCTTGGTTTAAAAAAAGTTTCTGATGTATTAAGCAGC